GCACACCTCATCAACAAGGGTACCTGCACAATGCATATTTGTATACCTAACCCTTAAATGTACCCCACAATTTTAAAATAAAAAATATGTATATTAAAAAAAAAACAGAGCTGGGCTCGGTGGCTCAGCCTGTAATCCCGTGCCTTTGGGAGGCTAGGGTGAGTGGATTGCCTGAGCCCGCGGGTTCGAGACCTGCCTGGGCAACTTGGTGAGACCTCATCTCTACAATAAATCAAAAACTAGCTGGGCGTGGTAGTACACGCCTGTAGTCCCAGCTACTCGGAAGGCTGAGGCGGAAGGATCGCCAGAGCCCAGCAGGTCGAGGCTGCGGTGGCTGGGAGCGGCCACTGCACTCCAGTCTGGGCGACAGAGTGAGACTCCAACTCAAAAAAAAAAAAAAAACAGTTTTCAAGGGACTGGCCATCAGATAATGAAGAAGGGTTCCTGACAGAGGAGACTCTAAGTGAGCGCCATGATCACCTTAGAGAACTGCATGTAGTTTCCAGGTCATGCCTGGGAGAGGGGAACCCATGCAGAGTTCACTAGCCCTGAGTAAAGGAGAGAGATGGGAGTACAGGAAAAACAAAGAGCTGAGGTTTACAAGGGAGAGAAAAGAAAGTAGCACACAAGGATTCAGAGACCCACAGACAGCTCCCCTCAGGTCTTCAGATGAGTACTGATCACAATGTGCATGCGAAGAAATTACCCGAGGCTTGGGAAATCACTGCTGGAAAATATTTGGGAACACTCTCCAAAGCTTACACAAGGCCAGGGGTAGTGCCTATTTTGGCAATAGGTACAAGTACTACTCAAAAGAATTCTGCCTCAGAAGTGGGAAAAAATTAGCCCTAGACTAAGCACTCTTCTGGTCATGCCCAACAAAGATTAAGAGCAAAAGCTGAAAGGATTCAACTATTATCAAGTAACTCAGCAGTGTTCCAGAACAAACACAAGAATCTTTACAGGATTAGCAAAATATCCCAACACTCCACATGGCAATATTCACAATGTCTGGCATCCAATGAAAAGTTATAAGGTATGCAAAGAAGCAGAAAAATGCAACCCACAGTTGGGAGAAAAATCAAGAAAACCAGAAATGAT